AAAAAAATCCTAAATAAGGAAATCATGATCAAATGGGGAAGGTCCAGAATAGAATTTAAAATCGTCATTCTAACATATAAAGCCTTAAATGGCAAAACTCCATCTTATAGAGGGATCTGATCACTTCTTAAATCCCTTCCCTCTTAATCTGCATGTTTACTAAAGGGGCCATAGAATTTCTAAAAGTAGAATGTGAGGCATATCTTTTAGTTATATCAGGCTCCAATCCCGTGGAAACAACTAGCAGTATTAGTCCGAGAGGCAGACACCCTGTCTACTGTTAGGGCCAGGCTAAAAACTTTCCTGTTTGACAAAGCTTTAAGTTAAAGGCTGTCCACATATAGCAGAATATCTGGAAACAAACAAGACATTTTTACGAGGCTGTGGCTTTCAGCAGCACATAAACATGTGACACATTCCTTAAAATGAATTATCCTAAAAATTCTGGACAAAGTTAAGATCATATAAGTTCTACTCTTTAAGCCTGCATGTGTACATGAAAAAAAATGTACACTTCATACTCAGCGCATTACGATCTACGACGAACATTGTTGTTCTGCGTCACACATGTGCAACCAGTTTATATATTTGGCCAATGGCCATACAGCGTATTTAAAAAAAAAAGCATAATTTTGCAGGTTGGTGTGGATGAAAAACTTTTTTTTTTTAAAACTGCCATGTGTATGGTATTATTTTTTTTATGGTGTGGAGGAGATTTATTTTTTATCTGCTACATATGTACAAGCTCTTTAAGTTGCTCAGATTATCCTGAGCTATCTCTATGGTTATGCTGCTATAGGCTTAGACTGCTGGAAAATATAGGGACCACTTTTCATCATTCTGCTTCATTCCACCTCTATTCTCCCATTCTGCAGTATTTTGTTAATTCAATCTCTAACTCTTTTCTAATTATAGTGGCTTCATTTGGTTTGTTCCTTTGTTTGGCTGTGACACCATCCTGAGAGATACATCAGATTGGCAGCTGTCGTCAACATCTTAGACTATAGATTATAGAGTTGGGTCTGTTTTCAGTACTCATTCCTGTTTCTCCCCTAAACATGGCTATGGGTCAGCTTTTACTGTGACTAAGTGTATGTTATCTAGTTTACATTTACCTTTTCTCACATATAAGGTATTTAAAGATCAGTGTTTCTGTGTTCATTTTGTATATCTGCTTCTATCTACATGAACCCCTGTTGGCTGTGACAGAAGGCTGCTCACAGACAGAAAGCTGGTTCTCCTGCAAGGTTCCACCTTTTAAAAAGGAGTTTTTACTCTCTACCCTTCCTACAAGCATGCTCGGGTGAGGGATTGTTGTTGAGTCAATGAGTGGATGCAATCAGCTGGTTTTGCTTAGATATACAAATTTGAACCAATCTGACTGTATGATCTGATTGAATTTGTTCTGTAAAGTACCTTGAGATGACATGTGGTGTAAATGTATTACTATATAAATAAACTGAATTTAAATGAATAATTTGTGGAAGAAGTTGAAATTCCAAACATCACTGCTCTAGAGGAGATCTGCAAGGAGGAATGGGCCAAAATACCAGCTACAGCGTGAAGCAAATCTGTCATTGTCAATAAAGATTATGCTACAAGGTATTGAGTTGAAAATTTTCTAGTGACCAAACATTTTCCACAGTAATTTACAAATCAATTCCTAAAATTCAACAATGTGATGTCCTGGATTTTTTTCTTCTTTTCTTACTTTAGTTGAAGTGCACATATAATGAAATTTACAGACCTCTAACATCTTTCTAATTAGGAAACTTGTACAATCACTTGCTGACTAAATACTTTTTTTGTCCCACTGTAGCTCTCAAGCCAACAGATCATTCTTGTGAAGTTGCAGGTTTGATGTGAGAATATCTTCTGACTTTATCCGGTTATGCTTCTACTTCCAAATACTTGAAACAGAACGTTTTAAGATACCTGTTTTATGTGAAACACTTGTTAAATAACACATTTTGCAGCCAATGTAATCAGTGTGCTCAGAGCTATAATATTGCTGATCCTTTTAATATGATCCAATAGAAGATCTTCCATGATATAAGATGATGAAAACAGGAGGTTCAGAGTGAGTACTGGTTAACACGTGTTGTTATCTGCACTTCCTTTTACTTTACCATGCTTTTAAGATGTGACTTCTAAATGGAGTTAAATTGGAGACTGACAGAGAATGAACAGGATGGGCTGACTGTGAGTAATGCTTTGTGGTTCCTTTAAGCTCAGCACCCTCCAGGTATGTTACTGTGACCATTCTGTCATTGCATACCTGGAGACTTGGAGAAAGTCTCCTGGTTCGTCCTCTGCGCAGCTCGGCACCCAGCGTGGCCCCAGACGTGTAGGATCGGCTGTAGCGAGATGACTCCGCCTTCTCCCCGACATCTGTTACATCTAATTCATTCCCCTGTGAGAAAGGAGGGACACAAGGTGAAGAGAGAAGGAGAGCAGAAGCAAGTAGACAATTCTCTTTCACAGGTTGAGCAAGAACAAATACATCATCAAATACAAATATGAGCTCATTTGTTTAAGAGTAGAAAAGGTTCAAAAGATATGTACAATTTACAATCAATGTGTGTATGAGTACGTGTGTGACTTTTAATGTGTGAGGCATTGCATGTGTGTGTGAGAAAGGGCCTCAACAGACTGAGTTCTAAGAGGCTGATCTGCACTGCAGCACCGTAGCAACAAAACACTGGGGGAATGGTAGTAGTTGCTAGGCAACAGTGCCGTGTTGCTTTTGATGTCGTCCAGACCCAGATGTGGATAGATGCTCTCAGCCACCTGCATGTACAGTACACACATACACACCCACACACGCACATTAGCATAATCAATGACTGGGCATATGAATAATGCATGATCTGAAGTCCTTCAGCCAAAGCATCACCTTTGAATAAGACGGCTGATTTACACTCATTTAGCGGGAGCTCATTTATACAAGGGACTAGGACCAAGTGGTTGATGCTTAGTGAATGGAAATTTGAGGATAACTACTGTATCCCCCTTGTGGTGAGTTATAGACAAACAACCAATATTCAAAATTTTGGTCTAGCAGTTTTTCCAAGAAAAAAAAGTTCTTCTGAGGAGCTGAAAGGAAATGGACATTTACTCAAAAAAAAAATCTCTGCCTCTTGTTTGTTTAAGTACCAGCCAAAGTGTATAAAGTGTACAAATAATGGCAAAAGGAAAATAAGTAATGAGAGTTAGACATACTGCTACTTTAAAGAGAAAGTTTTTGCTGACTCTCACCTCCAAAGCTCTTGCTTAAAAATATTAAACAAATGGAAGGTAGATGAATGACAAGTACATATGTAACAAATTGTAGTCATTCATGAACTATTTACATGTCTCCATAAAACTAGATAAAATGCAATACATTAAAGCAAGTAATTGAGCAGTCCTTGTTAAAGCTCCCCTTCCAACAGGAAAAAGGGAAGAAAAAAAGGGCAAGGTTCAAAATTATGTGCTACTTTTACTGTGAGGGATTTTTGGACCATTGTTTTTGAGAACAAGCTCCTTTAGTTGGAGATCTCTTTGGTTCCAACATGTGAGTAAT